TCATCATGTCATTAATCTGAGGTTTATCTTTTTACAATCAGTGTAGCAAGATAATCAAAATATTTTTTGGAGTTATTTGAGAATCTGTAGAAAGCTTGTTCCATTTTTCTTTCATCAAAAGAACAAATTGTTCTAAGTGCTGTTTAAATCGTCTCAGAAAACAGGTTGCCCTGTTAAAATAAAGAGCTAAAGGAATGGAGGTACTACTGTAGTTCCTGTTCTGTATGTTTTTGTTATGATAACAGACTACTGGTGTAGTCTTCTCAGGTGTGGCTTATTGTTGAGAATTAATTTGGAACTTTTGTAGCACAGTTTTAGGACTGAGGTTCCTAAACTTATTTTAAATTGTCATCTAAGAAGAAATTGCTAGCTAGAACATTTTCTATACTCCCCCAGTTTCCTTACAGTCTCCATTTTTCAGATGGGACCGATAGTGTTACCATGTTATATAAAAATGTACAAATTCATTTAAAAGAAGCTCTGAGTATAACAATCAGAATAGAGCTGAAAGGAACCTTGGAGGTCTTCTAGTTCACCCCTCTGCTCGAGCAGGAAACTCCATACCATTTCAGGCAAGTGGTTGTCCAGTCTTTTCTTAAAAACCTCCAGTGATGAAGCACCCATAACTTCTGACATTGTACAATAATTATAATATAATAATTATAACAAATCTGATGTGAGTATAACATTTAAAAAGGATGAATTCTGTCTAAATCTATACAGGTAGTCCTCAACTTACAACAGTTCATTTAGTGACTGTTTAAAAAAGTGACTTATGATACTTTTTGACAATTGCAGCATCCTTGTCATGTGAACTGATTCATATTTACAATGGCTTCAGTATCATGGAGTCATGTGATCACCATTTGCAACCTTCTGACAAGCAACGTCATTGGGGAAACTTAACAACTGTGGCAAGAAAGTCGTAACATGGGGCATAACTCCCTTAATAAATGTCTCACTTAGCCACAGAAATTTTGGCCTCAGTTGCGGTTGTAAGTCGAGGACTACCTGGAATAGATAATTATAATGGTACGTGGAAATGATCACCGACTGGACAACTAGTGTGTAAAAGATATGCCGCCCATAGGAAAGTTTTCAAGGACCTTTAATAATTTTTTGGGAAAATAAACAGAAAGAGCAGGAAATATTTTCAATCTTGCAAGATTCTGTTAATGTAGCTTTACAATAAAAATAGAGCTAGTATTTCTAGATGTGCTTCTTGACTGGGCTACCTTGCAGGGCAGAAATAAATTAGATTTGGATTTTCAGGTTGAGGAAAAAGAATTAGAATTTTAGAGATCTTGGGTAGCTTTGAATAAATCAGTGTTTCTCAACTGTGTGAAGGTGAAGGTACATTGAGAAATATAAGGAAATCATTGTTTCTATGATGTGACATTCAGCTATGTTTTGCTTAATTGTGCAGGATTCCTCATTCAGAAGTGGAACTTTTTTTACAGTATATAGATGAATATTTTTACTATGTGTAATTCAATTATTCCACCTCTGATCTTAGATAGGCTATCCAAAATGCTTATTTTTAATTAAACTGATGGTTGGGTTTCAGATATGGTCATTCTTTTTAAAGTTTTTAAACATAATCTTTTTTCTGCTTTTTATTATTTTTAAAGTTTATGATATATTTGACCAAAAGAATTATTTTGTTTTTCAGTTTGAATTATTTTACAGCCAGCATTTCAGTGGAAGGAAACTTACCTGGTTACATTATCTTTGCACAGGTAAAATAAATTTACATGGTCCTTAGCTGTCGAAAACATCACTATATTTTTTTTCCTTTGCTTAGATGAAATGTATACTGGTTACCTATTGAAGTTTTGATGATGATAATGAAACCTTAAATTTAAATTATTTTCTCTGTCTTAGCTAATCTGGCTTTCTTAATACATCTCATTTGGTTATTTTTATTACTTCTAATTGTTATCTGAAAAATCAGTTGTTTTAAATTTTATATTTTACATTCTCAATTTGTTTCAGGAAAAAAAAGTTAAAAATAAATTTTATTGGTATGGGTTGCAAACAAGATTTTTTTATAATAAAAATGGATTTAGGCATGTAGTTTATAGCCACTTGTTCAGTGATCATATGACAGTAATGAAGGAGAGATACAAAGTTTTGGCCCACCCAGCACCTCCCCAGTTATGTGATCATGATCTGAATGCTTGGCAACCAATTTGTACTTGATAGCATCATATGATCATCATTTGTGACCTTCACTCTTGGTTTCCCACAAGCAGAACCAAGCTGGTGGGGAAGATTGCAAGATGGTGTCAGGGATCTCATGCTCCATAGCACATGCATATACAGCATCTTGGTGTCAAGGCACTCTCTCCCCCCAGTTGCAGCCTTGATGTGCTTATGCTGTAGTGGCCCCCTGCACATCCTATCACCAGGTAGCAATCAATCCCTGGCTCCACTGCACTCATGCCACATCACAGCAGCCCCTTGTAGACTTTCCTGTCAACTTCTCCACTGATTTTTCCCTTCTGTGAAGCCAGCAGGAAGTAACAAGGGTCCTCTCATAGCATCCTATGATCCTTGGTTATCAACTGCAACAGGAACTGTCTGGATTGCGGATGTCTGGATTGTGGATACAGTCACGTGGTGTTGCACTTTACAATCACGTGATTTAGCAATGGAAATTCTGGTGCAATTCTGGTGCTTCAAACAAAGGCCTACCTGAGCTTGAAGCAAAATTTGACATGTTGGAGGGAAGGAGAAAAGCATCATAGAAAAACATAAAGCATAAGCAAGTGATACCATGAAATTGATTTTTGCTGATTGAAGTGTGGGGGAGACCTAAAAAACAGCTTGACCAAGTCAGGATTTTGATAGAGATCACCAAGGAACCCAAAGATTGTAAACTAGACATTGTAAGAGCCGCAGTGGTTAGAATGCAGTACTGCAGGCTACTTCTGCAGGTTGCCGGCTGCCAGCAGTTCAGCAGTTCAATTCCTGACCAGCTCAAGATTGACTCAGCCTTCCATACTTCCGAGGTTGGTAAAATGAGGACCCAGATTGTTGGGGGCAATGTGCTGACCCTGTAAACTGCTTAGAGATGGCTGTAAAGCACTGTGAAGTGGTTTTTAAGTCTCAGTGTTATTGCTATTGCTAGACAGTCAACGGGGGGAAAATTCCAATGAAAAATGTATTGGAAAGAAAATGGTGGCAAACTACTGCTTTGTTGCCCAAAGTTGTTGTTGTTAGCATTTTCCGTACTGCATTCCCATAAACCGAAGAATATATTCACATAGCCAACAGGATTGGAGCATTAGAGTCTTTAAATTTTGTTCAAGAGAGTGCATTTTTGGAGCATTAAAAAAAATATGTTTCTGTATTTTTCAAAATACAGTTGGTCTGTTAAACTGTTCATTTAATTGCCGCTCAAAATTACAATGGCACTGAAAAGAGGTGACATATTTTTCATACTTAGGACAGTTGCAGCATCCCAATGGTCACATGATCAAAATTCTAGACTCTTGGCAACTGATTCAAAATCATGATGGGTGCATTGTCCCTGTGATCTTCATTTGTAACCTCCTAACAAGTGAAGTCAACAGGGAGAGCCAGATTGGCTTAGCAACTGTGTTACTAACTTAACAGTTACAGGGATTCACTTTAACAACTTTGGCAAGAAAGGTTATAAAATGGGGCAAATCAACTGTCTCCCTTATCATCATAAATTTTGCACTCAGTTGTGGTCGTAAGTCAAGGACTACCTATAGTAATATTTTTAAAAATCTAATTTCTCTTCAAGATAGTCTTGCAAATTCAGTTCTTGTTTTGCTATACCCTTGGGCCAGATGCTGCTTTCTTCCCGCTGCCTTGGTTCTTGGAAGAACAAAATGAGGCTTTATTAATAAATCTTGAGGTTTTTATTCTATTAATTCATCCGCCTTATACTTAATTTGCAGGTGAGGTCAAAATGAATTATTTGTCCAAGCCCTATGTAGCCATGGTTACCACCTACCAAATGGCAGTGCTGCTGGCCTTTAACAATAGTGAAATCGTCAGTTACAAAGAGCTGCAAGATAGCACACANTCCCTCCCTCCCTCCCTCCCTCCTTCTTTCTTTCTTTCTTTCTTTCTTTCTCTTTCTTTCTTTCCTTCTTTCATAGCATCCCCAACTCTATATATATTATTCAATTTATTGAATAATAACAGCAAGCTAAATTGTTAAGTCTTTGTAGGATACAAAACAAAATGTCAATTTATCAAATTCAGATGCATTTAATAGTCTGCGGTAATGCCATGATATCTGTAACTTGAATTCTCCTGAGGTTTCTTTTTTCCGGGCAAAGGGAAGATTTTTTCCCCAGTTCCCAGTCCTTTTTTCATTAGACTGGTTAGGAAATAGCAATATACTGCTGCTAGTTCTCGACTGCCTTTATTTGATTACTCTTAGACTTTTATGTCCATCTTTGCAGTCCCGCTTTGCCCCAAACACATTGCAACTGTATGAGTATAATTTTCCTGCCAGGAATTAAATCACATTTGTTTTGTTCTAGCAGCCACGAATGTCAACATTTCATATTAGGAGGTGCCAGAATTGGCTGATGCCTGAAGGTTTTATATGCAGCAGTGTGCAAGCAATTGCACATCCCATTAAAAGTTTTTCTAATAAACAAGTGAATGAGATGCAAAATTTTAAAAGCTGAATTTCCCCCCCTGAAACAAATATTGAAGAATAGAAAACACAGAGAAGTGTTTTTCAAACTTGGCAACTTTACGACGTCTGGACTTCATACCTGCTGACTTGGGAACCCTGGGAATTGAAGTCTTCCCATCTTAAATTTTCCAAGTTTGCAAAAACATGATCTATATGCAGTGGTGGGATTCAAATAATTTAACAACCGGTTCTCTGCCCTAATAACCAGCTAGGTAGGTGTGGCTCGGTGGTCATGTGACTGGATGGGCATGGCCAACTCAATGTCAGTCACATCGATGGACGCTTCACCTTAGCTGCTACAATGTAATAAGGGTTAATCAAAAAGGTAGTTTCTGCAAACAGAGCAATAAAGATTAGGCTAGAAACAACACCAGAATGTTTCCTTCCTGCCTTCCTTACAGTATTAGCCCTGTAAAGTGGAAAAAAACAAAATGAGATNTACACCAGCCTGAAGGGCTTCCCATGCAAAAGTCGTGGGCTGGCATGTTAGCTTCCCGCCGCCACACCCCCTTCAGCCACGCGGCTTATGCCAACTCGCCTGAAGGCCTTCTCTATGAAAGCTGCAAGCTGGCGTACGCTAGCCCCCCCCCACCGCCCACCCCCTTTCGGCCATGGGCTGGCATACGCTAACCTCCTGCCACAGCCCCCCCCACACTTAGTTGCTTACCTGAGGGAAGCAGCAAGCTGCTGGAAGGCAAAGCGAAGTGAAGAGAGGACCTGATCAGCAAGCGCGATGCGACAGCTGCTCATGAACGAGAAAGACTCTTTTCAAAAGAGGAATGTTGGCCATTGGCGCTGCACTTTTAAACGGTTGTTAGAGGCAAGTGGGTCGACTCCAGCCCGCTCACTGATTGGATGGACTCCAGTCAATCAGTTAGCTGCGGGCTGGGCTAGTTCAGTGCGGGCGGGGGAGCGAGTGAGCGAGCTGTGACGAAATGAGCGGGGCAAGTGAGTGACAGGGCCAGGGCAGGTGTTCCGGAACTTACTTCCGGATTTACCAGTGGAACCTCTTCTAACTGGTACGGTAGAATTGTTGAACCTCTTCTACCGAACCAGTTAGAACCGGCAGGAACCCTTCCCTGCTTTATCCTTATAAAGGCACCCTCTACTTTATGTAGCATTATGAAGAAAATCTATTATAGTAGTCCACAACTTATGATCTCTATTGGAATTGAAAAACATTAATGTTAGGTGGTCTAGCTATTAAGTGGGGCATCCGGTGACCATACCTGATTTTATGACCTTTTGCTGCAATTGTTCAACATTGTGGTCATTAAGCAAAGAATCATGTAATTGTGTGATTTGCAACCTTTCCTGATGGCTTCCCCATTGACTTATTGGAAGCTAATTCGGAAGATCGCAAATGGTGATTGCATGATCCCCAGTCCCTGAAATGATTGTAATTGTGAGCCAGTTGCCAAGCATGATTATGTAAGTATGGGAATGTTGTGGGAGTCATAACTATGAGGTCAAAGGTCATGTCAGTGCAGTTGAAATTTCAATCACAAAATGAGTGATCACACTTTCAGAGAGTACAGGGTCTTATTTTCTTTTGACCCCCAAAATAAGCACTTGGCCTTATTTTCAGAGGGGTCTTATTATATTTGAGGTGTAGGAGTCAGCGAGCATAGTCCCCTCATGGCTGCTGCTGTGTTGCAATATGAGGGCTTATTTTCAGGGTAGGGCTTATTTTAGCACATGTGCTCAAAAGCCCGATTGGGCTTGTTATACAGGGAGGTCTTATTTTCAGAAAAACAGGGTATTAGCTGTAAATAATGTCATGTTTAAAGACATTCCAACCTTTTAATAATAATATCAAACCTATTTGATTCACTAACTTTTCCAAAAAGAATAGGAAAGACTTAAAGCAAGAAAACAGTGCACTGATTCATAAATAGTTTTGCGGGTGGTCACAATACATTATTTTTAAATATACAACATGTAAATCAACTTTAGCATTAACTATAGATAAATCATTAATTATCAGTCCAATTTCAGATAACATGACAATACCTAATCATATTAGCTGCCATTTTGGCCCATTGCATGCCTGTTTTTTTGGTAACCAGTTTACCAACTATTTGTTGTTATCGTTACCCAATTAATCAATCACAAGGGGGCAGGAGGAATGGGTTGAGTGTCTTGCCAGTTGCTTCTACATCCTCACTGCTATGGGAGACAAAATGGGACAAAAATGTTTTATTTAAAATCGTTCTACAGGCAACCCTCAACTCCCGAATGATGAATGAATGTTGCTCATTATTTTATTCTATGTTTGTCTGTGTTACTGTTTGTATATCCTTCCCTTGATTTTATGTAAGCCGCCCTGAGTCTCCTCAGGGAAAAGGGCGGCCTATAAATGTTAATAAACCTCTAAACCTCTAAACTTACAACTGCAAAATTTCTGTTGATAAGCAAGACAGTTGTTAAGGGAATTTCCCCACATTTTATGACCTTTTCTGCATCAGTTAATAATTCTGCAATTATTAAGTCATTCTCCTGGTCTTTCAGTGAATCTGGGTTAACTTTGACTATTGGAAGCTGGTTGGGAAAGTTATAAATAGCTATAGCACTTAAACTTATATACCACTTTACAGTGCTTTACAGCCCTCTCTAACCAGTTTACAGGGTCAGCATATTGCCCTCAACAATCTGGGTCCTCATTTTACCAACCTCAGAAGGATGGGAGGCTGAGTCAACCTTGAGCCTGCTGAGAATTGAATTGCTAAATTTCAGGCAGCTGGCAGTCAGCAGAAGTAGCCTGCAGTGTTGCGGTTGCCCCCAACAATCTAGATCCTAAATGGTGATCACATGATCCCAGGTTAGTGCAACTGTCATAAATACATGTCAATTGCTAAGCACCTGAATTTTTATTATGTTATATTGGGGATACTTCAGCAGTTGTATGAAAAGCAATCACCAGTCATGTTTTCAGTACTGAAACAGTCACTAAACAAATGATTGTAAGTTGAGGAACTGGTGATGTTTTGCAGGCCCTCCCATCTCAGCATCTGAAGCCAATACTGTCAGCTGCCACCTTATACTTGGTTGTGCTTTGCTGCATTGACAGACTGTTGTGAACTGTTGGAAGGGTGGATGAAGGAGGGAATGCTTCAGGAAGTGAAAGTAAATGCTGTATCTCCTTGAGATGCTGCCTCAAGGTCACCCAGCTGGAAGAAGGAGGGGGGCCGCATACCAAGCGGTGCTTGGACTAGCCATTATGAAAACCTCTTCCCTGAACCTGATTATTGATTATTGGTTACTCTAGGGTGGGCAATAACAGATAGTAAAGGAATAGAAAAGTAGAACTTAGGGATTTTGGTATGTGATTTTCAGTTCTGGCTTTGCAATATTGCAATGCATTTGATCTCTAATAAACTATACCTTTCTCAACAAAGGATCATTTTTATTTAGAGATTTAAGGCATGACATATCGGACACGTATCATGCATTAATATGATTGCATCATAGCAGGTGATTACACCTACTATGATATATTATCATATTATAATACACTGTGACACAGTGATAAAACCAGTTCTGTGGGCATGGCTACGTAGTCATGTGACGGGGGTGGTGGTCAAAATACAGAAGCTCACTTTAATAATATCCTGCTGGAGCAGGAGGTTGGAGTAGATGACCTCCAGGTCCCTTCCAGCCCTGGATTGCTGTGCTCTTTCAAGGTATCCTCTAAAGCTGCATCTAGTGCCAAGTTAATGGTCCTTCCTACCTCTCCTTTTTTCCTCCCTCCCTCCCTCCCNCTCCATCCTCCCACGTTTGCAGTTGATGTTTTTTTAATGTATCTTAAAACACAAACTTAAAACAGACTAAATATTGTAATATGGCAGATGACATAATAATTGTATCTACACTGAAATGTAAAAACAATGAACACAATACCTGCTGCTTATCAAATAAATAAAAATGGAGTATATTGTGCAACTTGTTTTAATTTATAAATTGAACAACTGTTTTCCCTATTAGGCATCTTTGTAGCTCATTCCTGGGCATTTTACTGTATGATCAGTAGGATTTAGGTTCTATGTAAGCATGCCTTTGCTCTGTAAAACCAATGATTATATTTCTAAGTTAGCAATAGCACTAGACTTATATACCACTTCACAGTGCTTTCCAGCCCTCTCTAAGCAGTTTACAGAGTCAGCATTTTGCTCCCAATAATCTGGGTCCTCATTTTACCCACCTCAAAAGGATGGAAGGCTGACTCAACCTTGAGCTTGGTGAGATTTGAATTGCCAAATTGCAGGCAGCTGGCAGTTACTCTGTTTACTGTAGAAGTCAGCTTGGAAAAGGGATAATTCTGATTGGCTGGTTACTCTTATGCTGATTTGTATAGGTTCTCCTCATTGAGCAGAGGGCTGGAATGGAAGACCTCCAAGGTTTCCCTCAGCTCTGTTCTCTTCTACTTATTTTAACTATGAAATAATGGATCATGTGGATGTCACTTCACTGTGACTTGATTTGGTTTAGAAATCAGGGATAATTTTTAAAACCCTCCTCCTTTCCATGCAGGCACCCACGTAGGAAGAGAAAAACTAAAGGCTACTTCATTACGTCAGTTTTGATTTATATGATCACATATTTGACAAGTCAAATTGTGAAGGAAAGTTACTATGAACCAGGCTATCTAACTCACAGTGGGAAAAGGTTCCACTTAATGAGTTTGCAGTAAAATTTCATGTATTTGAATTTTTAACAAAGTGTCACTAAATATATGTTTGGTTTTGTTGCATTAAAATAATGTTGAATAATGTTCTGGCCTATAAGAATTTTATAAAATCCCTGGTGATTCCAAAATCTAACCTTTTCTTTTTCTTACTTTAGACAAAATCTCTATATACCATGTTTTCCCAAAAATAAGACAGGGTCTTATTTTCTTTTTACACACAAAATATGGCTTGGGCCTTATTATGAGGGAAGGGTTTATTGTTTTGGGGTTGCTGGGCGGCTGCTCTCTTACGAGTGGGCTCCCAAAGAACCGGGCAGAGCCTCATGGGCGAATGGCTGTCGCAGCAGCGCAACACAACAGCCATGAAGTGACCACGCTCACGAGCAGCCATCCGGTTGGTGAGCAGTGCTGTGCCCAGCTGAAGAGGGGGTTGCCAGGCGTCTGCTCTCTTACGAGCGGGCTCCCAAAGCCTCATGGGCGAATGGCTGTGTTGCGCTGTCGCAGCAGCGCAACACAACAGCCATGAAGCGACCACACTCACGAGCAGCCACCTGGCAAACCCTCTTTGCAGCTGGACACACTGCCATTCACTGACCTAGGGATATCACCAAGGCGCGTGAGTGCCTGTTCGCTGCTGCCCGGCTCCCGCAGCTTGGTGCCTTCCAAATGTCAGTGAATGGCGCTCTGCATGGCTGGAGAGGGGGGTTGCTCTTGCTCACCCGTCCCCCAGCTCCCAATGCATGGGCCAGCTCTCATTACAGAGCCAGGGTACCTCCGCTGCCGCCGCTAGCACCATCCCAGCCAGGTTTTTCCGCGCCTTCCAAACTGAGTCTTCCAGCGGTGGCCGCTTTGGGCACACACTCTATGGTTGTGGGCCAGCTGCCGGCAGAGCATACAACCATAGTGTGCGCCCATAGCAGCCACTGCCAAAAGACTCGGTTTGGAAGACACGGAAAAAGCCAGGATGGGATGGCGGCGGCAGTGGAGGTACCCTGGCTCCATAATGAGAGCTGGGCCATGTATCGTGAGCTGGGAGGCGGGTGAGCGAGAGCAACCCCCCTCTCCAGCCGTGCAAAGCATCATTCACTGGCATTTGGAAGGCACCAAGCCGCAGGAGCTGGGCAATGGCGAACAGGCGCTCACACGGCTTGGCAATAGCCCTAGGTCAGTGAATGGTGCCGTGCCCTGCTGCAAAGGGGGTTTGCTGGGTGGCTGCTTGTGAGCATGGTCGCTTCATGGCTGTTGTGTTGTGCTGCTGCGACAGCGCAACACAGCCATTCGCCCATGAGGCTGTGCCTGGCTCTTTGAGAGCCCGCTCGTAAGAGAGCAGCCGCCCGGCAACCCCCTCTTCAGTACTGCACTGATGATGTTACCTAGTTGGATAATGAAATATCTGCAAGAAAACCATCAAGCTCAGAGGGCAAGAAGAACCCCCTACTTCAATCCTGGACTACAAATATTCTCTTCTGTGTATCTTATCTTGAAAATTTCAGTATAAAAATCCATTCAATAATATTTTTGGAAAACGGTGTTTGTAGTTTCTATCATGCACTGCTAAGTTTTAGTGCTGGAGCTTCTGATTATATTTATAGTTGCAAAGATTAATTACTGAATGAACGCCATCTAGGAAGTGTAACATGCAAATATGGAAACTAGGGAAACTTCTCTCCTGTTCTTCAGGAAAAGAACCTGTAAAAAAGATTGAGCTGAAACAGTATGTGATCACCACTGCTAATCCAGTGCCTTAATTGCTGGGATACCCAATTTATTTATCTTGAAGGTATCATAATCCAGTTGGATTTCTGTATTGTGGCACATAAAGAGGGTATTATCTCTGGGTAAGAAGTACACTTTTCTATCTTCGCTGCATCTAAGAAATGTTGCATAATTATAAAAGACAAGTATTAACTGTTCCTTTTTATTTTAAAAAAAGCATTCATTTTTTACTTTCTCTAATAGAATTTCTTCTCTTATCTTCCTTACTGTGATTTATATTTATTTCTAATGTAATGTACTGTCAGAACCATCAGCCTGGGGAAAGATTAGTTAACATCTACTGCTGTTATTATTATTTTTTGGGGGGGGGGGATGGATTGGAAAAAACTTAGTTACTATCTGAGTTTTTGATGGTATTCATATGGTGTAACGGACAAGGTGCTGATAAACTTGGACCAGGGCAGATGCACTCAAGTCTGGATTTCACAGGTGGGTGCAGTCCAGGCACTATTAACTAGCCAGCTTTCTTCTCAGAAATTGTTACTTTATCCCAGTAGTGGGTTTCAAAAATTTTTAGAAACTCTTCTGTAGATGTGGCCTGCTTTGTGGGAGTGGCTTGCTGGNTACAAAGAGCTGCAAGATAGCACACAAATGAATGAGAAGGAACTGACCAAAACTATCAAATCCTTACTTGATGTCAAAATGATCAACCATGACTCAGATAAGGTAAGATACCCAAAAAAAAAAAAAAAAAAAAACAAAACAAAACCACCCACATATGAGAGTGATAATGTTTTTCTATTATGCTTTGAAAAAATAGGAATAATAGATGGTACAAATAAGAAAAAAACAGGTAAACGTAGAGAAATACAGACAGATTAGCAACAAAATTGAACTATAATGAAGCAAATATATTCTATAACTATATAACTATAGGGAGGATAAAATAAAAATGTATGTATAATCTCTGTAAAGAACATCAGAAATCATTTGTTTGTAGCTTTTCTTTTCTGTCTCTTATTTCTTATTCACATTTCTTTTCTTTTCTTTTCTTTAAATATATATTAGATTTTCCTTTGAGAAAAACCTCTAATGAAAATTAGTAAATTAAAAAAGCTTGTAATATTGTAAGATACTTCATAGCCATTTTCTGATCAAAAATTTGCATGTCTCCCTATTAAGCTTTAAGTTACTCAGTTCAGTTCAAAAAAGACTATGGATAGTATAACATTAAAGTAAAGCATACATTTACATTAAATTAGGATATGGAGTTTGAAATTTTGGAGAGAGCGTGATTCTGTGGCTAAGACTGTAGTCCAAGAATGGTTTAAAGTTAAAACTGTATTCTATATTGAATTTATTTTTTAAATACAAAGCTCTCCTAGACCAGGGTTCCCAACCCTGTTCCATGGACTGGCACCATGCCACGGCATGTCAGAAACTGGGCCACGTAAACAAGCAAAGCCCCATCTGCAGAATGCAGGCAGTACGCAAAATCACATCCCCTCCAGGCTGCAGAAAAACCTCTCTCCACAAGGCCAGTCCCTAGCACCCAAAAGGTTGGAGGCCATGGTCCCAAACATCAAAGCAATTTAGTTAGCCATTTCACCAAAAACAGTGTTTTTCTGTCAATATGTACGTAAGATGTTTTTTGATAGGGCTGAATTGTTGCTTCCTGTCACTCTTGGCCCCCAGCCTGTACATAAAGATACGTTCAGTAGATTTGAAATACTTGTTTGTACATAGCTCCTTAAAAAATGTTATTGATGTGCTTATCATTTTCCATTCTTCATTTCTAAAAACCACCCAAATGCTTTTTAAGCTTCTTGAGCAGAGTCCTGATGTACTTGGCAAAGGACTTGAAGTTCATAGATCCTTGAAGATTTATCTTAAATACGACTTGCTGTTCATAAAAGAAAGAGAAAGGGAGGGGCAACCCCTAAAAATCCTTTTGGTCACATTTTAGAATTGCAGTTCTCTGTGTATTAACTTATGGACACTTGAAAAGGACTTCAGAAGTCACCACAGATACCTGTGTTTCTCTAAAATTAAACCCTGTCTTATATTTTTTGCCACCAAAAAAGGCAGCAGGTCTTATTTTCAGGAGGAGGTGGTGTATTTGTCATCGCGCTTTGCCCCCAGCCTCCTTTTTGCTGTTAGGGACCTTCAGGAATTTCTTCGGCCAGCAAGGCTTTCTCATATCGTATCTCAAATTCTCTGGGAGGCCATATAGATTTTACAGAAACCTTCTCCTTCAGGATTTAAAACCATTATAAGTGTCATAGCTCAATTTTGTCAAATAAATATCTTTTTTTGTAAAATATTACTTGATTTGATACATCCTAATGATTAATTATAGAGAATATTTTTATTTTATACCTATTAATGCTTTAGATCAGGGGTCTCAAACTCACATCGTCACAGTGGCATCACATATCAGAACTCCCCCCCCCCTTTGCTAAACTGGGAGTGCCAGCATGTGATGCATCTGGGCCAGGTGTTTGCAGTCCTGCTCTAGATCTATCACCTGGGTAAAAATTGTATTAATGTAGCATTTGAGGAGTTAAATCTTATATTCTGTTATTTACTTTGCTATTGTTAGTCTGTTGTATATATTTGTTTCACTCTTTTATTTGTTTTGTTCTTTTATTGACTGAATACATATTATTGATTGATATTTTACAAATTATGGTGCAAATGCTGTTGTAGAGCCAATGGTAGTATTGAAATGTATCTTTTGTCACTATAATTTAAACCTACCTTAATGTTATTTGTATCCAATAGATTGAAAGGAAGTTACCTCAAAAGAAATGCTGTTTTGTTAAGGGCCTCTTAGCTGTAAAATATTCTGTTCTGTAGCCAAAAGATATTTTCCAAAAAGCTCACTTTTACTACATGTTAATCCTACTAACATGGATGTTTCTGTATTTCTTTTATTGAAAGAATTATATTGGGCTGAGTTTGAAAACATATGTATTATCTTCATTATTTTGGGCATCCAAGATGCTCTGTAGAGAATTGAAGTAGTTCAGATTTGCCAAATTGAATAAGTAGCAATATGTTTACATTTCATCAGTGGAGATGTAATCCATATGCAAGCACAGATTTTCAAAGCAAGATGTTCTTTCTTAAACTGACAAGTCTTTGATATGTTTGGCATCATTGATACATGTGTGAAAAGAAGGGAAAAACACTCTCTTTTTTTTCTTGCAGGAGGATATAGAGGCAGAGTCCACTTTTTCATTAAATATGAATTTTAGCAGTAAACGAACGAAATTTAAAATCACTACTTCAATGCAAAAAGACACCCCCCAGGCAAGTATTGTTAGTGTCAAGAAAAACATATAACAGTATTCCATGAGGGATCTAACACTGAATAACATCTCTTTTAAGTCAAGCTCACTTCTGGATGTTTCTGTACAGCTTTCTTGGCATTCTTTTCTTCCAAAATAATCTATGGGCTTCCAAGGCTAGTCTATATTAAAGTCCTTCCTTATCCCAGTACTAACCACTTTCCGACATTGATTAGCAGGTGAGCTCAGACAACAGATATAGGGGTTGACACTTATTGAAACATAAAACTGAAACTTGAAAACAGTTGGAGACTTTGTAAAATCTGTAACCATATTTTTTGACATTCCTCTTTAAAATTGAATTGTCTCAAATATGCGTTGGATCCCCAGTTAATAATATGTAGAGGAAGCCCATTGACATCATGATTAACAAATTCTATTACTTTTAGCAGGTCTTCTTTAAAACTGCATCAAACATTCACTAATAATATCAGAAATAAATAATTAAAAAGCAGCTTGTTTAACACTTCTACCTAACCAGCTTTTCTAATTTTTTAATTTTTTTATATTCCTGAAGGTTTGGGGCAATTAAAGGCACATTCAGGAATTTTTTTTAGTAATTCAAAGTTGAATACAATTAAGTAATAAAACTCTAAATGAGAAGGAAAATATATTTTAGAGGGGAGAATCAATCAGAATATTTTTAAATGTGTGTCTTTTCAAAATTAACAGCCATTAAAAAAAACATGAAAAATAGCATATTCTGTTTTCTGATTTATTGCTGCTTGGTTCTTTTTCATTTCATCTGGTGAAAACTACCTATTCTCTACTCTTTGACATAACTTGGAATCTTTTTTGGAAATACAACCCCTATGCATTTTTAGTGCAAGGTAAGATCCATTTACCGCTTCCAGACACCGAAGGAACCAGAATTGTTTATTTATAAATAAGCAACATGGTGGTTTCTGCTACCTGTGGATGTTGCTAGTAAATTTAGACAGCTTTATCTGTTTATTTTGCATTTATTTCATTCTTTACAATATTAGCCTATATGATCAGTGCCCATATGTTCAGTGGTATTTATCCCTCAATAACATTATGACATTAATTCTTGATTTATTTTATTTACTGTCTGTTTTTGTTCGGAACATCTCAGATTTGCTTCCACATGCATTAAGTTCTATTTATCATTTCCCTTTAACTTACAAGGGATATGTAGGTTCCCCCCACACTTATTTTGGCACTTATTTTGAATTTTATTTATTTGTTTACTTATGATTTGGGTATATTCTAAACTAGTTACACTATTCAAAAGTATTATGATCATTAATACATTACTGTAATATTAATTACATTGTCAACATTATTACATTAAAAATATAATAGTTCACACCAGATATTTGTAACACAGCATTACCAATAATTATTTCACTGCCACTATCTAAAATTAATTTAATTAGCCAATACCCTGTTTTGGAAATGATAGCCAAAATGATATTGCCACTATATTTTATACATTTATCTTCAAATAGTTTTATTTTCTGTTCAAAGAACATTTTTGTCATATTGAAATTTTTATCTTTTACATTAATTTGTTTTAACTGATTTCAAATGTAGTTATTGTACTATTTGTTGTATAATAAAATGCTTTTCCCAGAACCCATTATTAGTGGAGATTGGCTGAGAATTTCTTCTTCAAAGGATCACTTGATGTCATTGGTCCTGTACAACTAACAGTCCTGGTTACTTCAGCATGTTAATAATGACTACAGCCTCAAAAGTATAAAATAAACTTGGAATGTCATTCCCTTCAGCCATATGTTTTAGGAAATATCTAAAGCAGCTAAGAATTAATGTGTCTTGAACTTCAATTTCATAACAAGTATCACATTGTACTTATTACTCCACTGATCCGATAAGAGTCTTTGGCAAAGAAATGTTAAAATGTACTTATTAGGCAGTAAGCTTCTCTAAGATGATTGAAATTACTCCTTGTTTTTAAGGTGTCTGACTATGTTTTCTCAAAAGTATTTTCTGTTTTTCAATGTATCTGGAAAAAAAATCAATTTTTATTTCGTTCTTTAAATTCAGCAGCACTATACTTTACATTCTTGTTAATTTCATTTCGAATTTTATAATCTGATAATCAGATTTAAAGAATAGTAAAATAAGTTGTTTTTGTTTAAGATCTTAAAATTATCAATTCTTTTTCATCTTCAATGATAATTCTGTAATATTCATAATTTTATTGTGTCTGGAATCTTTCTGGTTCTGATTAAAAGATAAGCTGAACTGAATCTGGCTAGTGGTTCATTTAGTTCACCATTCTCTTTTCCATCCTCCCCTGATAATCCCAGGAAACCCGGAAGGTAAACACAAAATAGTTAATTCTCTATTATAGTTGCATTCAGCAGCTTGGTAATTCAGTGGCATATCTCCTTTGAACTTAAGGTTTATGCAGAGCTGCAGAAAAAGTACTTAAAGACTCTGTGGTGACTTCATTTTATCACAGAGAGGAAAGAAATCTTAGTGCTCTATCTCTATATAGAACTATTTATTTGGATTTCTACCACAGGATTTAGGAATATTCGGTGAATCCAGAATTTTTAAGAACATGGGCATAGTTTGTTTGACGCTCTGAACTATAATAATAGGTAAGAGATTTACTTAAGGTCTCCATCTTATTGGCTGGATTTGAGTATCATTGGAAGCTAAATCGCAATATAACTGGTATGTTGTTCCAATGAAATTACTTCAGAAAAGTTGTTTTACAGCAGGGGTGTCAAACTGAAGGCAGGTGGGTTGAATCCGGCCTGTGGGGTGCTTAGATCTGGCATGTGGGCCTGCCCTGGAAACAGTGAAGGACCGCCCTGCAGTGCCTTTGCCAGTGAAAAGGGAACTCATGGCTGCATGTGCCCCTGCCGGGTTCCGTTTTGGGCCACGACAGCCTCCTGCAATCCTCTGCTAGTGAATATGGAGCTCAGGGAGGCCATGAGCTGGCTAAGCTCCCTGGCCATTCACCCCTCCCCCAATCCCTCTGAGGTCTGATGCGGCCCTCAATGAAGTTGAGTTTGACACCCTTGCTTTAGAGGATCAAACCAAGTATGGTCTACTCAGATCTATTTTTAAATTGTCAACCTCTTTCTTTAAACCAGTATTTATCAAACTAGCAAAACTTTAAGACTAGAGAATTCTGGGAATTAAAGTCCACAGATCCTAAAGTTGTCAACTTTGGAAAACTGGTTTAAACTCAGCAAAATAAGCTAAAGCAAAGGTTCCCCACGGTCCCTCGTTCATAGTTCCTTTAGTTTCTAAGAATGCCAGAGGATTAGCTTCTTCTATATAGTTTATTAAGAAAAGAATCGTTTTCATCAGGATCACAAAAGACTACGCCACCTCTGCAGGTGATCTCAGCTCCTAACCCACTGAGTTATACTGTCTTGTATTGCAGGAAATGGAGCAAACAAGAAGNATCGATGGACGCTTCACCTTAGCTGCTACAATGTAATAAGGGTTAATCAAAAAGGTAGTTTCTGCAAACAGAGCAATAAAGATTAGGCTAGAAACAACACCAGAATGTTTCCTTCCTGCCTTCCTTACAGTATTAGCCCTGTAAAGTGGAAAAAAACAAAATGAGATTTCTTCCAACAACTGGTTCTCCCGAATAGATACAAACTGGCTGAATCCCACCTCTATCTATATGAATATACAATTCTTCCATGCATTTTAATTTTAATTGCAACATTTTCCTCAATGTAGACAGAAGATTATATATTTGTACACTACACTAGATTAGGTTAGTTTGTAATTGAGTATGTTATTTTAACATCTGCAAACCAGGCCATTTTATCACAGCTTAATACAGGCACAATTTACAGCTACCCATTCAGTGACCGTTCAAAATTACAATGACAGTGAAAAAAATGGCTTACAACTAGTCTTTGCAATTATGTCTCTCGTGGCATCCCCAGCATCATGTGATCAAAATTTAGGTGTGTTCTAACCAGAATGTATTTACAATGGTTGCAGCATCTGAGGGCCACGTGATCACCTTTTGAGATTTTCCCAGCCAACTTCTGCCAAACAATGTCAATGATAAAAACAGGAAAAAAGGTCATAAAATCTGGTGGTAACAGTCTATAACAGCTTCACTTAGCAATGGAAATTCTAGTCCCACCTGTGATCATAAAACAAGGGCTACCTATGTAGATTATTTTGCCATTGTATGTTATAGGACTACAACAAATGTGTTTTGTTACCCTGGATGCAATGTAGAAACCAACTTAATGAGGAAAGCTGCTAGGGCCATTTGTATGCTTGCAGAATCTGTTTAATTTTGCTATATGTTTTCATATCAACTGTTGCAATTTTCAAGGAAGGTGAAGATTAAAAATAACTTGAGCTATAACAGGGAGTAAAATCTACACTAATTTGGTCCCTCGTTTGAGTTTCATTATGAAGGAACTGAAGTCAGAAGTTTGCTTGTCTATAGTACATTTCTTATGTTCCTTTGTTTTCCAACTTCTCACTATTGGGGAACGCTTGTCATGTACATTTAATACATAGTACCTAGTTATGTTGCCCATTAAAGATGCATTTAAATTACTGCTGGGAACTGTTAGATTGATAGTGAAAAAACAAACCACTTCATGCCCTTTCTATTCTGGCTGACATTAGACGTGCTATTAATTTCCCAGTAATAAATAATGTGGATTTATTGTTACTTCTGGGAGGATTAAGCCAAGCAGCCAACTAATGCCAGCTCGTCTTCTGAATCAAGCCTCTGAATTGAAGCAGACAATGGTCTGTTGTGAGAAGTATATACGAAAGATGTAATTGTGCCATAAGGAATTCTCTGCTGCCCAGCTAGCATTATCCATCTTTCTTTCCAGTCAGTTCCTTGTTTTGTGAAATGAGACAAGTAATCTGTTACAAAAAATGGGAGGTTGAAATGATGGAAGAGGAAAAATAAAAAATAAAGCTTCATCTTTATAATGAAACTCTGGAAACTTTAGACTAATCATATTAGGAAAAGGAGAGGAAAATACTTTCTAATATTCCAGGAACTGAGTCACCAGAGGATTGCTTGAACAGAAAACTAAAGTTGGAAAGAAAACTTTAGAAAGTCTTAACAGGTGCTAATAATTGCTTTTGCTATGGGAAATAACTTTGAAATTGAACATGTTATCTCCGGATACATTACAGCATGTCAGAATTGCTTATATATTCAGTTCTTGATGGATTAGAGGAACATCTCAAAATGAATATTACTGGACAAATTTAGATTTTCACTGAGCTAATTTCAAGCACTTCCTGTTTCAAGAGTGCTACATACTTTTTTATATATTTCGTTTACTTCAAGCATCTTAGGCACTATGAATGTCTTTGGAGCTCTATCATGACCATGCTCAATGTTATTTCAGTGTTTTTCAGCTGCTCAAGGAAAAAGGGATATCATCTCAAAAGGGCTTCCTGCTTTGTAGACAGAAAAGTTGTAATATTTATACCTATTTTATATTTGTGCTGTTTATATGCATGTTTGTTGGGAAATGTAAAGAGCACTAATGAATTTTGTGTTTTTCCTTGAGCAATTCCAAACTTATCACCTAGTCCATAATTGTTATCGAGGGACTATCTTCAAATGTTAACCCTCATGTCTTGAACATGTAACCTATTTTCTGCCTTTCCTTGCCACTTTCCTCACTTCTGTTTTCTGTAACATTTTGCTTGACAAAAAGTTCTAGGAAACTTCAAAGCTTAGCCATTATTTTAGTTATTCCCAATAACCGCAACACTCAATTTGGTGTTGGTTGGTTTTTTTATTTCTTAGGGAATGACATAGCAAGCAATGCCCTATTTCTTTTACACCTTGCTGTATTTTATTTTATTTATTTTCCAACTCACTGCATTAAATTACAGAGGTGTTGAGTCCTTTTTCCACTGTTACCCATTCAACATGCTCTCAACTGTTATCCACTGGCAAATTACTTCTAGATCTGAAGTAAAAACAGAAGAATAAGTGTTCCTGAGTGTTTCTAACAAGCTGTCAATTAATTATTTACTGCTAAAGTTATGCTCTACTTTTGAATTAAAATGGGTACTCTAGGGTCATGAAGGAGAGGCAAAAGCAACAAAGAAATCTCCAGTCGGAATATAAAATATCTGTGTAAAAAAAAAAAGCTTTCTTCTCTCTTATTGAACTTACATAAAGCTTCTTCAATGAAAAGCGAAAAATCTTCCTCAAAAATAGTCCAGTTAACTTTTGAAAAAGAGAAATAAAAAGCACCTTCATGACCTGGATGACTGAGTATCTAGATAGACATTACAGGGTTTTTTCTTTTCTTTTGGTTGTTTAATGCTACATCTCAATTAATGACAAATTGGAAAATGAAGTAAGGAGGGAGGATACCCCACAAGGAATTGCTTTTTACAAGAGGTGTGAATGCATAAAAATAAGAGGACTGCAACAGAGATTATCCTTTTTTCCAGCATGCTCTGTGGATGAAAAATACTGTAATTATTAGTACAACAATTATGTTATTTTCTCCAATATGCATAAAATGTCATTATTTGCAGCTGTGAAGGAAACGGCAACACTCACATGCACTCATGCACACACTCACACACAAATTGTGCAATGCTTGCCTGCAAATTACTTTGGCACCAGTCCTCCTCCATGCTTTGTTTTCAGCTTTGTGCTCAGTGAAGATCATGCTGCCTTTTATTTAATGGCTTTGTTGGAAAAGCTTGTCATTCATTCCTGCCAGACCAAACTCATGGTCTTTTCCAACGCTTAACAAAATGCAGCTGGCAGATGAACAGACATATGATAGAGCATGTTAAGATGTATAAATATTTGGGTGTTGTTTTCCAGCCCTCAGAATCTCAGAGGGCTCAGGCTACTTACGTTATAGAATCTGCTCAGAAACGTGGCTACGATTCTCTTTTTCATTTCTTTTTTCCCCAATTGGAGTGAGCAATTATCTCTGCCGTTAGGGTCTTCCATAGCAAGATAGTTATTCAACTGTTGCCTGATGCATGGGCCTTCTCCTCCATTCAGATAACTTAGTCCAGTGATGGTGAACCTTTTTCTTATGGCTTGTCAAAATTGTTTGTGCGTACACTATTACATGCTCACGTGTGCTCACACCAATTCAATCCTTCCTGCCCACCTGCGCATGCACGTGTGACCCCTCCCTCCATGCATATGTGCATGACCCCTTTCCAGGCTCCAGAGGCTTTCCTAAAGCTTGGGGGGCGGGAAAGCTGCCTCTCCTGCCCTCCTGGAGGTTCTCTGGAAGCCAGAAATGGATTGTTTCCAAACTTCTGGTTGGCCAGTTGGGGGCGTTTTTCACCCTCCACAGCCTCTGGAGGCATTCCTGAAGACTAGAAAGGGCAAAAATGGCCTATCCTGGCCCTCCGCAAGGCCGCAAATCAGCGAGCTGATGGCTGGCATGCCAGCAAATATGGATCAGAGTGCCACCTGTGCCATAGGTTCGCCATCACGGACTTAGTCCATACTTTTGAGGGCTATCTTTTAAGGTCCTTGTTGTATGCTCAATGTTACCCTTTGTGAGGCTAAAGCTGAAGCTGAAGCTAGTCCTTGACTTCAGGCATAACTGGAACCAGAATTCCCATGACCAAGTTACAGGGTTGAGTTAATCATGGCCAATGTAACAACCATTTTTGTCATCATTGTTAATGGTCCCTTAGTGAATCTTACTCCCTTGATTGACTTTGCTTGTGGAAACACCGTCCAGGAAGATCACAAATATCAATCATATCATTCTGGGATATTGCAACTGGTCGTCAAGTACCCAAAATCTGACCATGTGACCATAGGGATGCTATAGTGGCTGTAAGTGCACGGACCAGCAATAAGTCATTTTTTTCAATGCCACTGTAACTTGCAAAACTAGTGGTCATAAGATGAGGACTACCTGTTTTCAACTGGATAAGCAGGATTTCTTATTATCTTAAATCAAATTTCTGCCTAAAAGCTAGTCTTGATTCCACTAAAGAATATGGAGGAAGAGTGTGAGGATAAAAATACATAACTGTAGTGGTTCTATAATTATCCCTATAATCCTGGGATTTCCCCTAAGCTAATAGGAATAGGAAACAGTAGAAGGTGATTTCTAGGGAATCAACACAAAGATCTTTTGCTTTGAGAACAGAAACCAACAATGATTTTGGCCGAAGAAAATATTGTAACCTGGATATTGCCAAATATCATAGTGCTTGTTCAAGTCACTAGGACCTGACAGATTACATCCCAGAGGAGCTAGCAGATGAGATCACAGAACCGTTGAACCATATCTTTGAAAGATTCTGGCGCTCTAGGGAACTATCAGAGGACTGGAAAAGAGCTGATGTGGTTCCTATTTTCAAAAAAAGGAAGAAAAAACAGATCCAGAAAACTACGGATCAATCAGCTTGACATCAATACCTGGGAAAATCCTGGA